TAAGATACCATTGTAGAATGACTGTGTCAGTCCTCTAAGATAGGCTGGACCAACAGCCACCAAAGCTATTGGTCATAAAAAAGCAGATAATGATACAACTTTACAAATATTTTGCCTTTAAAATAATTCAATATATGCCTAGATATTATTTGGTATTCAGAAATTTTGGAAAATCATACTATATCCTTTATCAAACTTAGCTGGATTTTAAATAATCAGTATTAATTTTTTTTCATTAGGACAAACATGTTTTCTATATTCAGCTTTTAAAATACTTTAAAATATTTTAATTTTATTATATTTACTTATGCCTGATTTTATTTTTAGTTTGATTCTGTAAACAGCCATAGAATCCATTTGGATAATGTCTTTTTACCCTAAAGAATCAACAGTGTAGTTTCTTTACCTGTGTGAACTGGTATAGCACTGCACGCTCTTGAAATGGAAAATCCATAAATATTATAATTGTCAAAAGTTTCAGTTTTAATCAGTACTGTTTTGTCTAGTCTACCTTCTTCTGCTGGAACACCTAGAAGGCTGACCTAGGAAAGGTCAGTTGTGGTTACTATCAACCTTTTGAGGGAGTCATGTGAAAAACTAGCATAAGGCTTTAAGAAATTAGTAAGAGGAACTTAAAAGCCTTGCAAGTTTCTCCCTGCTTCATTTTATATTAAACAAAATTAAGACAGCGTTATTTTGAGTTTCTTTCTCTCCCTATATCTGGACTGTTGAATGTCTTATCCACATCCCTCCTTAATGGCTCACTTTCTTTCTTTCTTTCTTTCTTTCTTTCTTTCTTTCTTTCTTTCTTTCTCTTTTCTTTCTCCCTTAAAGTCTCTGTTATGTTTATCAGCTCTAAATTCCTGAATTCCTTTGCAGGTATAGAGGTTCAGAACACACATATACAAACATGCACATTACTGTGTATTACTCAATCAATCAACCAGGTCACTGCAACCTCTCAGCTTTAAAATTGATTGGAGGTATAACCAAGAGCATATATTAAGATTCAGGATCAGGCCAGAAGCATTCCTGAGAACTTAAATTTATTCCAGTGGAGTAAAATACTTATAAATACATTTCAAAAGAAAAAAAAAGTCCTATTGATTCCTCAAGGATTAGCTAAAAGGTAAAATACTTGGCTTCAACTTGTTTTTTTCCCCAAATAGCCAATATCACCATCACCATCCATCAGGGAAATTTAACACATAAAATGGGTGGATGACTAAATAGTTCCTGACTTACAACCATTCCTTTAGTGACTGTTCCAAGTTACAACAGCCCTGAAAAAGGTGACTTATGACTGTTGCACCATCATCACTATGGTCACATGATAAACATTTGGACTGGTTCATATTTATGTTGGTTGCAGTGTTCCAGGGTCATGCAATCACTTTTTGAAACCTTCAGAACAAGCAAAGTCATCGGGGAAGCCAGAGTCATTTAACAACCATGTCACTAACGTAATAACTGCAGCGATTCACTTAACAACTGTGTCAAGAAAGATTGTAAAATGGGGCAAAACTCACTTAACAACTGTCTCTGCAACAGAAATTTTGTGTTAGATTGTGGTAATAAATCTAGGGCTTACATATAATTTTTCTTGAGTGCCATTCTGTCTCTCTTCTATTTGCTGTTGAGACAATGGGTGCTGCTTGGTATATGGACAAAAAATGGGGAGGGGAGTAAAGTATGTGCATAGTGCCACCAGTTTGTTATCTTATCCTTTTTTCACTTTAGGAAGCACCTCTCCCCTAGACCTAGCATACAATAACTGAGGCAGCCGCCTGCTTAAACTGCAAGGTGCGCATTAATACTACAGGGGGCAGGCAAAGCCTTTCCCCTTAGCACTTACCTTCCATGTGGTTAAAAACCCAGTACTGCCCTATCCTACTGGATTTCAAGTCGGATATAACAACTAGGACTATTTTTAAAACGGAAAAGGAGGATGTGCCCAAAAGTAATTTACTGGCTGAAGCAGTAGAGTATGGGGTCAGCGTCATGAAAGGAAAAGGGCAAACTCCAGGACATAATCAGGAACGCCTGGAGAAGGCTCTCCAGGCCTCCCTTTCAAGGCCAGCGCGATGGCACGCCCACTTCGGCGATCAGGTTGTGCCCGCAGGAATGCCCGATGGCGGGCAAGGCGTTTTACTCGCACACCGGAAACTCAGCCGTAGCGACGGGGCCGCCTGGTTCGTTTCGGCCGGGAGAACGGGACGCCCCGTCCTGCTTCCATTCCGCCCGGTTCTAACTTGTAGCTGCATTGCACCAATCAGGCGCCCGAAGAGGACCCAAGGAAGGGCAGCGAAGAAGTGCGTCAGGGTGGATCGGTGCTCCTTGTAAGCCACCTCCGGATCTCCCTACTTACCTCTCTCAAGAGCTCCAAGAGATTCGTCGATTCGATGTACTGGGCCATCCACCAAATGCATCTCTATTCCTGTTGTTTGCTCCCTTCACCTCAGGCCCATGCAGCCGCCAGTTAAATAACGTTCCTGACTGCCATCTGTCAGAAATGGTGTAGTGTTTCCTGCTAGGGAGGGTGGCATTGGACTAGATGACCTACAAGGTCTCTTCCAACTTCTATTCTATTCTATTCTGTTCTATTCCTATTCCAATCTCACCCTCGCTCCAAAATAACCTTGAAGGCTTTTGCTAAAGTGAAATTCCCATTCTCACAGCTCAAAATTCTTATAATGCAGGAATCTGACTCGCTCTGTCCTTCCTACAGTTTGCAAAATACAAACCCACCACCTTACACTCCTTAAGAAATATAGTTTTTCTTCATGTTTATGGAGATCCTTAATCATCCAGGTCAAGTTTGTCCCAAAGTTGCTTTTCCAAAAGGCAACTGGGTTTTTCCCCCTTGAAAACGTTTCGCTTTTCATCCAAGAAGTTTTTTCAGTTCTGACAGATGTGGTGAGAACTGAAGAAGCTTCAAGGATAATAAGTGAAATGTTTTAAAGGGGAAAAAAACCAAGGAAGTTTAGTTACCTTTTGAAAAAGTGTCTTTGGGGTAATGTTTGTTCCTTTGCTGCACCACAGTTAATTGCCTCACTGTGGGATGTACTATGCCTTCTCTTTCCCCTCCCTATATACTTTTTGTACTCAGCTTATTCATTCAACTCTTACACACGTTATATGGAGCAAATACAGCCACATTCTCACTGTAGGAAGTGTGTTTGAGGTAGGAGCAAATGTGTGTAGTATAGTAAGGTTCTATGGCACCTTGTGAGAATTCACATGCTTTATTGAGGAGTGTTTCAAGATTTAATTTCACCATCATGTGTAGAAAGGATAGAAAATCTGGAAAATTCCATGGGATAAAATATCATTTTTGACAGGATCAAAATACTGTATAAGGTAAACATAATGAGAGGGGAAGGAAAAATAGAAATAAAGTAAAATGTGTAAATGTATACAAGGATTTCAATATGTATAAATATATTATAAATATCCTTTGAGAAGTTTAAAAACTAAATTCTGCCATCTTAGAGGGACAAACTTTAATAAGTCAAGTATTCCTATTTTATGCTACTAGTGATAGATGCTTTTACTCTGATTTGCTGTAAACAGTTTCAGATAATTATGAGGTGCAAAAGTAAAAATAATGCAATCAATTAACTTTACTGCTCAACAAAATATGAATAGTGGTGTAGCATTTACAGAGCAGGCTCACTTCTAATTCTTTTCAGGTGACAGAAGCTAATTTTTAACAGTGGAATATTTCTGGGTATAACAAAATAAATTTTCAAGCACTTTTGTGTAAAATAATCTGAATTAACTTTAAAAGTGATTAAACAGCTATGTCAGGTAAAAAAAAACAGAGGAAGCTTTGCAACTTTGATAAAAGTTGAAAAGGGTAGTACTAGAACAAGATGAAATATTGTTAAGTTTTCACTAACCATCTTATCAATAGTCTAGGTAGGAAAAGATGTTTCCAGTGTGCAGTACTACTTCTCTTCCATTCTGAATGTCAATTCTGACAAGAACTTTGGAAAACCTGGTCTGGCCAGTCTGAAAGCCCTCTACTTCCTATAGTATTGTCACAACTGGATTCTGCAATTTTTCAGAGAGAAAAATTCTTCCAGAGCCACATTTTTCCTGAAAATATAAAGTTATTTCAAATGGTGGCTCAATCAAATCAAATGCTAGATATAATACGATAAAATTATTTTTGTGCATGGTAGAAAGGACCAATTTGGACAAAGAAATGAAGTGTAACTTTAATACATTTATACATACTACTACAATATCACAATTGTACAAATAATTTATGATTTCCAAGTACAGCTTGTAGAAGATAAAGAGAAATTCCAGCATGTCAGATGTAATATAAAAATTCAAAAAGGCAGCTCATTTTAAAGAATATCCTAATCTCGTCTGGCAACAAACATTAAATTATTATTAAAAATAAAATCTTCTAACATGCAATTAATAGTTCAACATGCAAAATTCTCAAATAGTTTCAGTGTTTTTAGTTTCTTCCTTCATTGCATATGAATATGTATATTTAAGAAAATAGGCATATTGCTTCAATCATGAATCCATAAAAATTAGTTGTTGAAATTGCTACAACATTTAGAATATTAATTCAAAAGAGTGTAAATACATTTATTATAAGTTGCTAAGATGTTAAAAACTAATTTACTGGATCAGTTGAAAAGTGAGTAAGCACTGGATATTTATAGAGAAAATTGCTTAGATAAGTAGATGCAATGTGAAATTATGTATGTATACTGTATATGTATATACAGATATAGATGATACAGATGATATAGATAGATAGAAAATCTATTAATAGGATTTCCTTCTGAGTAGGTATTCACAGAATTGCATTGCAAGGCTTGATTTGTCATTATAGTTTTCCCTCTTTGTATTCAATCACGTCTGATTTTGGTGACTGGAAAGGTTGTTTAGAAGTAGTTTGCCATTTCATTTTTCCTAGGGCTAAGAAAATATGACTGGATTAAGGTCACCCAGTTGGCTTTATACCCAAGGTGGAAGTAAAACTACCAGTTTTTAGCCTGATTCTGTAATCGCTAATTAAACTGGTTCTTATTATAAGTATTACAGAATACCAAATACAAAGGCTGACTAATAGCATTAATACAAAACAAACAGACCACACGACCACTTTCCAACTGATGCTTGTAATCTAGCTAATGGAGCAGTTTGGCAATATTATTCTAGAGCACCCTCAACAACTCTAGATAGTATTAATATGAGAAGAATTAACCAATTTGTAAAATGGAAGAAAAATAGTAATCAATTATTTAAAAATGTTGCCAATAAGGGCAAGATTTTGTATTACCTTACATTCAGAAATAATTATCCCTTAGAATAAAGAATCAATACTTGATACTCTTTTTAAAAAACCAGAATTTTATAATGTGTTTTTAAAATAAATATTTAGAAAACATGCTTTTAAAACACATTTTAATCATTTGTAGTACTCTTTCATAGGATATCCCCTTGCAAGAGGAAATAGCAACATTTTCTTTTCTCTTGGTTACTCACTTCTCACCTGTTTATTTGCTTCTCACCATCAATACAAAAATATAGCATTATTCCAAATACTTTAGAGGCCAAATCCATACTATTAGCTACTTGGTGAATTATTATTTCAAGATGGCAGCTACTGTATTTCAGATTATCACTTTGCTTTCAGTCAAAATACTTCAGAGGACTGATTATGATCTTCTGAAGGAGAGGAACTGTTTGATGCTCATATAAAATGAAAAGGCTCAAAGTGTTCTCTAGCAGAAAAAGAAGCCTAAGTCTTTAAACTGGAATAATACCAAACTCTGTCTCTTTGCATGAAGAAGGAAGTGCTATTTTCCACATAAAGGAGCAGAGTCATACTCAATTCTGTAGTCTGTTAATTTACTTTGTACTGCACCCATAACATAAATTTTTGGAATAATTAATTTTTAAAGTACAATTCTTCCAGTGCTTAAATGGACAATTGAGCAAATGCAATAGAGGAAACTTTGTTGTTGTTTTCTTTTGAATATTTTATAAAGCAACGTAAACAAAAACCTAAAATACTGCTTTATATTGCGCCTTTATCTATAATATAGAGAGAATCACCCATTCTTGTTTAATTAGATATTTTCACAAGATCCCCCCCCCCCCCCCAGTCTTGGATTCAAATTTAATTGTTATGCCTGGTTACTTCTGTATTATACTGTATAGTTCTTTGCGTATGACTTCAAAAAGGCACTTTTTGAACGTGCAAGTATGCAAATGTACCACCTGCACACAATTCTTTAAAACAATAACATAATTTCCTAGATCCATACAATTGACTCTCTGAGGTTACTTTCATACTACTCTATTAAATAGAATTGAATCCGAAACATTGCACATTCCTATTATTTGAATAAATATTATACATTCTATTAAGAGAGAAGCTTGATCCAAAAATTGTGCAGAACAGGAGTAAAGGAATGTATTTCAGGTATGAAATCTCTAGTGATTAAAAATAGCCTTCCAGGAAAGTTGAGAGATAATGAAAAATGTTGCATTTTGGAAACTAAGCTCCATTTATGAGAAGGTGTTTAAGAGAACAGAAGTTATTTCTAATATTAAAAACATAAGCACATCCTTCAAACAATGCCTAACCTTTGGTATCCCCCTTTGCAAAAGTCATAATTCAATTATACATAACTTAATATATTAATTTTTCTGATGATTATGTTTATTTGTTAGATTTTTATCTTGTCTTTATTTTTTTAGAAGTAACTGAAGGCAGAGAACATACCATATATTACTTCCTCCTTATTTTCCCCACAACAACACTGTGAGGTGGGTTGGGCTGAGAGAAAGTGACTGGCCCAAAGTCACCCAGTGGGCTTTCATGCTTAAGGTGAGACTAGAATTCAACAATATCCTGCTTTCTGGCCAGCACCTTCACCACTATTCCAAACTGGCTCTCCATATAAAAAGCATGGCTCACTGTGTTCCTTGACATTAGAACAATGGCTACAGAAATAATATTTTTTTAAAAAAAAAATCATGGTAGCACTTGCAACAGTTCAAAACACTAATATACATCTATGTTCTCTTAGAATTACACATGTAATTTTATCTGAAATTAAGACAAATGACATAATTTTAGACAAAAATACTATTTGAAAAAATACATGGAGGTTTCACTGTCTTTCCAATTATTAAAAATATTCCCTAGAAGTAGATCAGTCCTGGACTTTCCATTGAGTTTTTAAATGTTGTAATCTGCTGCATTACTTCAGTGTGATGCACATTCTGCTTCAATACCATTATCTGACCCTTTTGTATTTCCAGGAACATTCAGATGACCTTCTTCTTTCAGTTTTGTTAATCTGAAATCTTCTCTAACTTTTTCCAACACATCTGGTTTGAAAATAACATCCAAGGCAGTCATGGCTAAAGCTTTAGCTGCTCTCAAGGCATAGAACTGAGCTTCTTCTGATCCTAGGATAATCAAACCCACAAAAGGAAGAGATTTCATTTCAGTATAGGAACTATGTAATGGCATTTCAAATCTGAAGAGAGGTTTAAAAACAATTTCTTTTTTTAAAAAAGATTGCAATCTCAATTCCACTGGAAATAGAGACTAAAGAACAGTCGTCTCTTACAGATGCAGATGTATCTATCAATGTAAAATCCACATTATTCAACTAAAGCTGTATTTATACATTTGCATTGAGTTGTATCCTCTATCTATAACAGAAGAACCCCACTCACAAGATGCTCTGGCTTGCATGAATGGGCAGCAGATTTGGGACAAATATGTGCATCTACTTGAACCCTTTAGTCAGCAAAAGCCGTCTTTCTCAAGTTCTGCCTTTGCTCCTCAACTTAGAAACAAAGATGAAACAAAGAAAATTGGCATGGAAGTTTCCCAATTCCACATACTCATTTTATGTCCAGTTTAGAACCAGAAGCTGTGAAGCCATCAGATCTTTTGCCAAGAGATTGAGAAAAAAATTAACTATTGTTATGCACAGAATATAACTCTTTATATATATAACTTTTACATCCTGAAATACTGGCCTCATTGGAGAGGATGGTTACAGAGGTTGGTAAAGGGGCCATGTTTTTTACCCAATAGAGAACATAGCTGGTAAGTTTCCTAGACCAAAAAAAAATGTTTTCTCCCCATGTTTTTTTGGTAGAGATATGCATCCTTGTCTGCTTTGGATCCAAATACTGCGTATTTCTGGTATTTACCATCAGTCTTGTTCTACCACCCTCAAAAGGCCCTGGGTGTCACAACAGAATGTGATCACTCAAATTTGACTCCATATGCATTTTGCCACATTATTCTGAATGTTTTTTTTTTTAAATGTGAAAGATACACCCACTTTTAACTACTAACCTGCAGCCGTTGTATATTGCTCAGTATGGTTCAATGCATCAGAACCAATGTAAAAATAGGAGTGAATCCCAGGAATCACGTAACTAACATTTCCAAAGTCAGTAGAACCTAAAGAGAGCCAAAACATTTTTAGGTTTTGGAATATACCAAACAGTCTACAAGGTGAAATGTTATTGTGTGGGTTAGCATATAAAGTATTATTAAAGGGTACAGCAAATAAAAATATTCAGCTCCCATATAGATCCTCTTCCATACAATAAGTATTAAGGTGGAGTTTTTTATATGTCAAATGTTAGGATTTTTGTCCCTACATTTTAAGAACTTGAGAAATAGAAACAATGAGGAAATAAGAATCCTTATTAAAAATTGACTTCCAATCCCACATTACTGAATGTATGGCCAGCCTATCATACAGCATAAGCAAACAGTGAATTTAATACTGGTAGATAGAGAAGTTTGGTCATCCTGTCAGTCAACATTAGGTGATACCTCTTTTGACAGAAGAAAACCAGCTTCCAAATGTTTTGGATAGCCAGCTATTTTTGCTTTTTATCTATTCTTGGTTTTGATTTTTTTCCATTCCTTATGGACTTTTTCTAATTTAGGGATATCCTTATGTCATATCCCATTGCATGCATTGCATGCTTCAAAGATCCCCCATAGATTTTGGATAATACTGATGTCTTGGGACTATGTTTCTTGTAAAAAAATTATCGGTGTATGTTTCACAATTTCTGAGACATGGAACATTTTTTTAGCTCCTTTGCTGACTCTGGGATATTATCTTTTAAGATATATACAGAGGTGGTATTCAGCAGGTTCTGACAGTTCTGGAGAACCGGTAGTGGAAATTTTGAGTAGTTCGGAATACCATCTCTGACTGGCCCTGCCCACATCTATTCTCTGCCTCCCAAGTCCTAGCTGATCTGCTAGGTCTTCTTTTGTTGCCCTGCACAGGAGAACCGAGCTGGAACACAGGTTAGAGTGGTGGGGAGGGAACGGAGATTATATAGTATCCTTCCCCTGTCACGCCCACCAAGCCATGCCCACAGAACTGGTAGTAAATTTTTTTGAATCCCACCACTGGATATATACATGCTTAGTTAAACCCATTCTCAACTGCAGAGTTATTTTCTGGGTCATACATCCTCCAAGCATAATAAAGCCACAATGAATATCAAAATGTTTCAGACTCATTGAGATTTTTTTTTTTTGGCTTAAAAAGGCCAGAAAAATGGTTTCTTTTGACAATTCTCCCATGCAGATAATTGTTATATTAACAATATGCTTCAATGAATCTGAGACAGTGCTAAGCAAACTTTTCAGTAGAAAGTTTGCTGTGATCTGTGGATTTTCTTTGGCAAACCTGACTAGTTTGAGGGAAGCAAAGATTATTTTTGTGTTTCAGATTTCAAGGTTCCATGTAAATTCCATTATTTTTCACAGTTTAAGTTGCTAGCTGAAAGTGTTTAAAGGGTTTTGGACTTTTTAAAAAAAGCCTTCTCTGGTCCGTTAAAGTAAACTACCTTTATTTTCAAATACTCAAATACCTGCTGAGGGATTTATAATGGCTGAAAATAGAACAAGAGGGGTTACCAAGAGGTTAGAATGGTCAATCTCCTTTTTGAGGTTAAAAAATATAAAATCAAATGGATGGGTGTCAAAACTTTTATAGTTGTCATGTTCACTTTTTAAAGATTTTGAATCTGAAAACAACTGCATATATATAGTAAGCAGAATCCAAATTTGTAAAAAGATACTAATTTTGTGTACCCTATATGGATTTATGTCTACTTCTGTTCACTTATGTATTCATAGTATATTTCTACAGTATTTGACCAAGGGGCCATGCCTAAAAGAAGTTATATTCTTGAAGAATTGTTGTGAAAGTGATACGAGTAGCAAAATTAACTTGCTTATTAGAGAAAAATCAACAGTTACATTTACTAATTACTGGAAATAAAAAAGAAAAATGAACTTGTGATTTTTGGCTTTGAATATTAGAAAGGATAGTTTATGGAAAGAAGAAAAGTATGATGTAACTGTACAGAGGGTAAAATATAAATGCATTTACAACTGCTGTCAAAAAGCTCAGAACTCATTTATAATGTTTTCCTTTCTTCTTCTGTTTTATTTCTTTTTCTATTTCCTTTCTTATTCACTATTCTTACTTTGTTTCTTTTCTAATATTTGTACTGTTTTTAAATTTGTTTAAAATTCTTCAATAAAAATTATATTTTAAAAAAGGGGTTATATACTTACCTGTTAAATCATTTAAACTGTCATCAGAAATGAAGTCCATGCCAAGCTTCTTGCCATTTTCTTTGTAAATTTTTTGTAGAGTCTTATTAGGAAGCACATTGTAAAAATCAGTTTCATTATTGTGTATTTCCACCTAGACAAGAAAAGAAATGTTAGGATATAAAGAGCTTATTATTCAATCCTAGGCACATTTCACTCAGAACACAACCCTAATATACTCAAAATAACAATAAAATGTAAATCTTCTACACAGGTACTTGAAATTAAATCATAGTTAATACAAATGGATTTATACTATAGTAAACATATAAAAACTTACTGCATTATTTGTAACAGATTAGGACTAATCCGCCCTTTTTATCCTATAAGGATAAAAATGTTCGGATTGTGAGAATTGTGGTTCCATCCAAAATGGCACTGGCTCTGGAATGGCATAAAGCAACCTCTGCCACTCCCAAAATGGCACCCACTCTGGGATGCAATGACATGGTCTCTGTACAGGAAAGCTATGTCGGATCAGCTGCTTTTCTTTCCAGAAATGATCTTCAGAGATGGCCTCTCAGAACATAAATCAGCCGATCAGCCACATGGTGCCTTCATAGGAGCAGATGCCATTTTGGAAGCAGCAGCAAATCTCAGATCACAAGAACTGCAGTCAATTTCAAAATTCTGCTTCGGAATGGTACCACATGGCTTTTGTATAGGAAGGACATGCAGTGTATTGGTTGGTTCTCCTTGGAAAAGGTGATCTTCGGAAAAGGAAAGTGGAGCAAGTGTGATGGGGAGAGGAGACCCAGTGGTGTGGGACCCAACCAGGTTGGAGGGGCAAGATAAATGAGTGGGGCAGCTGCAGCATCCCTCTGGTCGGTCATAAGGATTGCAAAGCACCTGAATTTTATTCATGTGATGACAGAAGCACTGTAGTGGCCACAACTTTGGGTACAGGTTGTCAATCACATTATTCAGTGTTGTCATAATTTTGAATAATCACTGAACAAATGTTGTAAGTCAAAGACTATCTGAATGTAGAATAATGTAAATTGTGGATACTAGCTAAATAACTGAGTTTGAGTTAATAATTTATGATTTTGCCCAAACTGATACAATTGATTATAGTAGTTACAGAGCACTTTTAACCATCTCTTCCCTACATACTATAGTACTTTTGATCAGTACTTGAACTATTCACAAATACAAAAGGCAATGTTTACATTGCATTGCTGTTCTTTCAACTCAAATAATCCATGTTTTAAAAATCAGCTTACATTATTCTTTGAAAAAGTTATCTAGCAGTCTTACTTCACACCCAGTTGCTAGAGCTGCAGCTTTAAAACAATTCTCTGCTTTTTCCTTTAAGGTAGAGAGTTCCCTTAAAGAAGGAGCACGCAAATAAAATTCTAATTCAGTGTAAGAAGGGATGATATTAGGCTTCACACCTCCGTTCTTTATTATACCTACAATGAAGAAGAAATAGGTAATTGAAATGAGTTTGGCACAAGTTTTTCTGAGGCTTATTACAAAACAGCTAAACAGAAAAGTCCTAACTTGATCCAAGGCTCTCTGCTTTGCCAGTAGATCAATGAGAACTCACACTGAAGACATTCTGGCACTAAAGAAAAGCAAAGGACATCTGAATTCCAAAATCAGGAGCTTTCACTTTCTGCTGTATTCCTCTGTTGATTATTTGTTGCTCTTAAAATTGGGAGAAAAAAGTCTCATCCTATACCAAGCAGAACTAAATAAGAAATATCAAGCAGAAGCAAAATATATTTAAAGCATTTAGGAAAAAATTAAAATAAAACCATCCTTTCATATTTTAATTCTTACGGCCTCAATTTTTGATTAAAACTGAACAATTTAAAATGTAATATTTACTTCAGCATCCATAACAATGTATTTTCAAATACATTTCTCTTTTTTCTGTTCAATATAATTATGCTATAAAAAAGAACAATGCTAACGTATTTTTGTATTATATATTGTATTATTATCAGCCAAAACCTCTGAAGGACATCCAGGGTATATTACACCTCTACTCTAACCCCTCATTTTTTTCCAGACCTGATCAGGTATGTATCATTGAGAAATATGTGGTGTGTGTGTGTGTGTGTGTGTGTGTGTATACGCATATATACTTGTTTTTTATTTACTTAATTCTAACATATACCCCAAGAAAAAATAGTTGATGCCTGTTTTAAGAGTAGGAATTACTTTATACTTCCCTGCTCTGATTTGGAAGCATGACTTAATCTCAAATTTACTCTCATTCTAGTACAGAAACAATTTAGTCATGAAATGGCAATATATCATAATTGTAACATTACTAAATCAAAACTCATAATGCATGATAATAAACTTAAAATCAAAAAGAAATACTGAAATCTGACACAACACACCTAATATATCTACAGTTTGTTTATGATTATTTATCTTTCAAGAGGAGACACTCTTGATTTGCAAATATGTATAAGCTTTGTATTCCACCTTTGTTTCTTACATCCAGAAATGTCTTCAGATGTGCTCCATGTTTTTCTGTGGGAAATCACCATAAATCTAACCCCAAGAGGTTTAATCTATTTTCCCTCCTATGGGACACTACAGTAATTCTTAGGCAAGTAAATTTGGGTGTATGACAACTTGGTGTGGGCAGGTGGGTGTAGCCCCTTCACCACTGCCAAGTCCCCTTGCCAACTCACTGCTGCCAGGTTGTTGCAGGACAACTCAACATAACAATTCATTGCGGGAACAACTGTGATGACCCAGAGTAGGATACAAAAACAAACACAGTCACAGAAAACAGGTGAAGCCCCTTTTATTCCTTCAGTTTGCTTCCAACCTCTGAATATCTTTGAGGGAAGAAGGAAAAAAGCAACACAAACCAGGCAAGATAAGGGCTGGAGGATGTCCACAGATAATATACACTGGGAAGGACGCCAAACTCAGAGAGTAACTATAAACTAGAGATATTTACACAATTTGTTTCCAGCATTTGCCAGTATGCAGGTCCAAACTCTTATTCAGTTGTCACACCTGCAGCCCATGAAGAGGATCAAGGCCCTTTCCTCCCAAGGAGACCACATCTCTCCTTTATCCTCTCCTCCCTGCATGCCCTAGGATAGATAGGAGATGGGCCTGGGTCCTCCTCTGGCTTCTTAACCGGACTCTGCCCTTCCCCAGTCTCCTCTTCCTCGGAGTCAGTCTCCACCAAGGGCATGACACAACTTGCTTTTAATGACTAGATGGAGAGCCGTGTGTGTGTGTGTATGTGTGCACAAGCGAGCAAGAGAGGAAAGATAGCTGGGCAGGTGGTTGTGTTGGGCAGAGTGGTGGGTGGGGAGGAGGTGGCGCCAGGGGTTTCCCATTCTCACATTCCTGCTGCCACCACTGTTGCTTTGCCCATCCAGCTGGGCAAGGCAAAGTGAGGCAGAAGTAGGGGTGGAGTTGGGGATGGGTGGTGGCTTTACTCCCCACCACCACTGCTGCCTCCCCTTCCCCTGCTTAATTGCAGGGGTTGAGGCTTCTGCCCCGTTGGGTATTGAGAGCACTGACTGAGAAAGTCGGAGCAAACACTGGGGCACACAAGCGTTTGCAGAGCACCAGAGTCAAGGAATGTTAAGGCATGAGTCCTTTCTCTGCCCAAGAAGAGCCGGGGTGGGAACTCCACAGCTACTATGGAGAGATTTTAGAGGAACTGGATGGAGCATTGCAGCAACGATCCCTCCAAAGCCAGGAGGGTGACTTCATGTGTTTTTGCTTATGTACAGAATGTGTTTCTCTAGGAGGACAGAAGAATAACAATAGGAAGGGGAGGTCTTCCTGAGCCCAATTTTTTTGACTGGAGTGTTGCTAACGACATTTTCTCCCTGGACTCTTCGCACCAGCACTCTGTTCTGGATCCACCTGCCACCAGCACGGATGAGACCAGGTTGGTAGTCTCTAGTCATGCTCCACAGGACCAAATCACCTGCTTTGCCAAGAAGGCAAAGGAAGAAGCTAAAAGGTGGTTGAGCCACTGAATCAAATTATGCCCTCCCCAGATGTGCTGCGAGAGGCAATTTTCCTAACCCCGCCCCTGGCCAACACATCTGGCAGGTTGGAAGGAAAAGAGATTCCATTCCTTTCAGTATTTTCCCAATTTGTATGTCCAAGAAAGCTGTGCAAATCAGACAAGTGGAAAAAAACAACAACACAAGGCACCTTATTATCATAACAGGATATGTTAATGTTAATTATTATTATAAGTAATTAATGATTGTCAGCTCATTTGGAGTTTTGCTGACAAAGCAGCTTATTTGTCTGAGCTGCATCCAAGTTGCCAATTGTCCTTTGCTCTGGTCTCTTTTTTGCCCTGTGCATATGGTGACCATATTTTGTTGGAGGAAAGAAATAAAGAATAACCCTGAAAGGAAGCAAATCTGAAGGGGCTTTCCATTTTCACATCCCCTGCTGCCACCGCCACTGCTTCCATGTCAACCTTCAGGCCATTTGGAGTTTGGACTATTTGGCAGTGGCAGCAATGGGTGGGGTATTGGGAGGAAGCAGGTGGCAGCCGGGAATTTCAGATTCGCTCCCTTTCAGGTTTATTCTTTATTTATTTCTTCCAAGAAAATATGATCACTGTACCCACAGGGAACAAAAGAGAACGGAGCAAAGGACAATTGGCAACGTGGATGCAGCTCAGACAAATAAGCTGCTGTGTCAGCAAAACACCAAATGAGCAGACAAAATAATTGGTAGAGCTGGCTAGAATAATTTTTAATTAATTGTAATATTAATTAACATTAACAGGTCCTGTTGTGATAATAAAGTGCTTTGTTGTTATTTTTTCCACTTGTCTGATTCACACAGCTTTTGGGGCATACAAGATGGGAAAACACACAGAAAGGACTGAGTTCTCTTTTCCTTCCAACCTGCCAGATGTGTTGGCCAGGGGTGGGTGAGTACATCTAGGGAGGGCATGGGATAGTTAAACTGAAGCTGTTAGAAATATCTGAAAAAACCAAGTATGTATTTTTGAGTCCCTGGGTAAGCAGTACTTGCTTCCCAATATTTGAGATTATAATTCCATAATCATAGATAATCCATCATATTAAGGTTTATATGATATAAAAGCATAAAGATTACTTTGAGCCACACGTTCCTGAAATTAATAAACAAAATCATCTTGTTTTGTCAGCAGCCCATTAAATGATGAAACATTTGCCACACAGAATTAATTTCCCCAGCAAGATGATAAAAGAATGGAACAGTCCCATACCCAATCAAACTGTTCCATATTTAAGATAGTTATATAGTAACAAATACTGTTATAGAAATATTCTGGGAAATTGCTCATCTGAAGAGAACATAAAAACTAGAACAGTGAACTGTTAGGCAATGTTGTGGTCCAATTTACATCTTTCTAAAAAACAATTGCTATACCAATTAAAAATCCACTTATATAATGCATGTTGTGGAGATGTGTCAACTTCCTGAACATGTCCCTGCAGTTTTCTTGGCAACATTTTCAAAACATTTTGCTACTGTTTACTTCTTAGTGCTGAGAGAGAGTCACTGGCCCAAAGTAATCCAGCTAGCTTCTGTATAAATAATCTTCTGTAGCCAGCCTAACTAGCAACAAATCACCTATAATAACTCTATTATGATCAAGCTAACATGGACCCAAAATAGACAGAAGAAAAAAATAGTATCAGCACAGATTTGCACCTGTAAAAGAGAGTTTCATAGCAATATTTACAGATTTCCTCGAAGTCCCCTACCAACTTCCATGCAACTTTGAGGAGGTAGATCACCTGGGGGATAAAACACACCATCACTTACTCTCTCTTATAGTGTTAGTGACGTGTAGAAATTACTGTTTGAAGGGAGCAGGGTATAAATTGAAGTAAATTTAAAATTAATGATAACTGCCTAAGAGTTCAGAAGCAATGTCATTCTGACTTAAGAGAGCATGAAATGAAACCTTCACAAAGCAGAAATTGGATGGATGAAAAACATAAAAGGGACAATTATCTGGAAAAGGAGATAATTTGCCTCCACCAATAAGTTACTAAATAAATGTTTTATCTGGATCAAAATAGATGTCAAGACCCATATGGAACACTTTTTATCTACTATTTGAGATGCATTAATTCCCTTATTATATATGCTGTAATATTCTGAAAAGAAACCCCAACAACTGGAAATAAAATCCAGATATTTTATTAAACAAGATCAAATGGCATGGATAAATTGTGATTAAAATACCCTAAGAACCATATTGGGAAAAACTAATTATTTATCTCTAAACCAAGAATCTTTTGCTTTTTATATAATTTATAAAATTATAATTTAATAATTTTCATTATTAAAAATGGCAACAGCTATTAGGTATGCCATATATTGCACATAATAACTTTATTTTTAATGCATCCAGAATAATTATCTTTGAGATGCAAGATTATTCAGTGTCTTTCAAGTAATGACCTTAAATTAAGCAGTTATAATAAAATTACTGATTTTACCCCAAGATTATTTCTAAATGCATATATATTTATATATCTAGAGAATGAATACAAGTTCTTCCTTGGTTAAAGGCCATATTTAATTTTTGAATTAAACTAACTTCAGAATGTAGGATTAAAGCTACATTATGTTATTTATATTGAATTAAAATTAAATATACCAATTTAACTTTACACCCTGAAAATATGGATTTAATGATTATGTAAAAGCTAATTTTATAGTATTAGGTGCTTCATATTTTCATATGAAAAGCAGAGTTCTTACCATTATTCATTTAATACATTGGAATAATTAAACTAGTAAACATGAGCAGCTGTTCATTTTGTATAACATTAACATGCCAGATAGAACACATTTGCTTAATAAGGGTCTGATATAACTTGCTGGACATAAGAGTGAAGGAAGGTCTCACCATGTACTCTCCATGTCGGTTTCATTTGCTGTCTTAAAAGGGACAGATTGTTGTATGCAAGCACAGCAGCATCTAATGCATTTAGTCCTTCCCAAGGGTAAGCAGCAGCATGAGAAGATTTTCCATAGTATTTCACAGTCACACTAGGAAATAAAAGTCATCACTTGTTTTTAATCAGTTTTAAAGGAAAGAAAATCCCTTTGGGTTTCATTTCATGAAAATAATTTTAAGGAGATGTGCATGCTGCATTGTATAGTATTACTTCAAACTCTACAAAGATCTGAAACAGCAATTAACACAAAGTTATGAATGGAAGGTAATACAGAGCTTCCATAGTCAAAGGTAATCTTTGGCACTGCAAAACATTATTAGATCTCTAATACAGATATATTGTTAGAGAACTGATACAGCACATAAAATTAAATTTGGAGGAAATTAGTGAATTAGTACCTAATCCTTCAGCAAAAACCATGTAAAAAGAACAGGTTAAACATGTGTGAAGATGAAAACATCCTGGAATTTTATGAAAGGTTTATCTTTTCTACTTGTTACATTACATTCTACTTTCTACTTTCTACATTAGTTTTGCTTGCACCAAGGTAGGATTTGTTTAATCTGTGATTTATTATTTAAGCCAGAGCTTAAATGATAAGCTTATTTATTATTTAAGCCAGAGCCTATCCCAAAAATGAATATAATAAATGTGCTTTGTTTGATCATTCCTATGTTTCCTTCCATTGTTCTTGGCCGGTATCCAGTACAGAGCAAACCCAGATAAGACTACTCATTTGCTCTTCCTAGGACAGGAAAATGAACAAATCTCACTATGGTTTACTTCTATATGCTAACCCAACATTCATTTCTAGACAGGAAAAAATGTTTTACAAAACACAATACACCTGCATTAGAAGTGTAGTTATATAGATTAATTTCTCACAGTCATTCATATCAAGAAATTTATTTGTCACAGAGGAGCTCCATAGAAGACAAAGTCATCTGAGCTAGGCCAAAATAAAGGGGCAAGACAGCAGATGTTTCTTTAATGAAATGTACATGACTGGCAAATATATATTTTACTTCCTTTCCAAAGATAAAGTCTTATTTGAGTTGAGTCTGACTATGGTTATGTCCCTGTAGTTCTGCTGGCAATGAAATGAAGGTTTCCTATAGAATGTATTTTTCACCTCCCTCACTTGCAGCCATCCTTCTTACTGGTGGCCTCTCATTTGAGCACTGAGGTAAACTCTGAACAACTTTTTTGAGATAAACCAATTGCCCAAATGTGGTCACCCATCTGTTTATTTCCAAATAAACATATATTTAAGTCTAGAAAAGTAATATATTAAAATGACAGCACTGGCAATGAAAAACATGATAAAATTTGACTAAGAGGAACTGAGTTACAAATGCAGCCTTAAACATAATGAGTGAGAACTGAAAGTTTATAAAGCATATGAAAAATTATATTAAGAAACAGAATTCGGGAATGTTAAAATTTCAACCCAATTTTGCTGATTTAGAAATTATTGGCAAATATCTAAAACTTCTTAGAAAGGGAAATCTTTCAGTGGCTGCATCTTCACTGTAGAATAGTTTTCACTAAGAGATTAAGTAGGTCTCAATTGTTACAGGCTCCAGATATTCCTGGTGAGTTATTCTGAGGGATCTATGATGAGTGATAAGATACCCACCTGGACTGATTTTAGGCATAGCTATTTAAATTTTATGTATTTAAGTTCCAGCTGTGAATCCTTGTTAAATATTAAATCCTTGTAATATTCCTTATTACAGTAAGCCATCAGTGTCTCATAATTACAGTGGGGGAAATATAATAAAAAGGTGGTAATTATTGCTGATTTCATTTTATCACAACCTTCCAAAAATCACTGCATGAATACATGAAGCTAACTATAATTGTAGTTTGTTTTTGCTTACATTCATGTTACATCTTACTGATGTCTTCTGAATTTAGGAAAAATTATATTTAAAACAATGCTATTCTGCTTATATATTTATAATTTAAAGTACTCAGAACGCTAGGGAATTCTGATTCTACATAGAATTATAAGTAAAGGAATGTGCACTTCTTTCAAAACAGAGGAACTTTGGATTATATCTCATATTTTTCACTGACAGCATTGAATATAATGCTAGATGCCTGCACTCATATTTTATTTGCATTTAAGTAACAACCAAGCATGACAGATTTCTAAGCACAAATGCAAAATATGTATGCATAGTCCATTGATGATATGATACGTGTGTCACAGAGAACATGCCAGTTCACTGAATGCTGGGAAAGATGAAAGGTAAGAGAAGAAAAGGATGATCAGCAGCAAGGTGGATAAATTGAGTTATAGCAATGATGGGTGCATTGAAGGTCTGAAGACTTGAAGGCCCAGGTAAAGGACCAATTGTCTTAGAGAAAATGTATTTATACAGTCGTTAAGATCTGACATTGGCTTAGTGGTACATAATCAGTTTGCATCCCATATAATGGGCCTTCATAAAAATGATGAGCACCAAAGCTCAAAGACAAAAAAGCAGAATGTTTAAGATTAGCAAAGATCTGCACATCTGGTAACATTGTTTTAGAAGCTGCATATAATCCAAACAATAAATGTGCTACACATTAGTTTTAAAATTAGAACTTACAGTGTAAAAAAGAATTTTAAATGATTTCCCCAAAATTATTTCCTGAACAAACTTTACAAAACATCAGAATATTCTTTTCCAGGGCAGAAAACAATTGTGTAGGTTTGTGCTGCGTTATCAATTTCTTACATTTTCAGCATTGTCTCAAATAACCAAACAACTTGCAAAGGACACTTCAGAGCTTAATTTATTTGGGTCATGCCTGGGTTTAATTGATTAGCATGAAAAAGAATGAAACAGGGCAATCTATTAAGAACCAAAGATTCCATTTCTAGAACAAATATTTGTTTGGTTATTCAGCCTTCCAGTATCCATGAATCCTTATGCCTATTTATGCCTACAGATATATTTTAATTAGAGTGAGCATGAAATGAAACATAGAATTTAAGATATGAACATATTCATAGAAAGGTTTTGTCTGTTTCTCTGTTAAATGCATTGGTAAGAACTACTACCTGAGCTTGCTTTCTTCTCCCTGCTCCATCACAGCTTTCTTTCTTTCTTCTGCATCTTTTATACTATCAAAAGTAGATAGAGATGGCCTGCAGGCTTTTTCAGATGAAGAGAAGCACACAGAATAGGGCCTCTGACAAGGAATTCTACTAGCAGGCAATATCTGGTACTAAGGCTGAAGCAAGAGGTAGGTTGTACCTGTACATTTTAATATTTTTGTTTAGCTAATAAATTGTGGCATAAAAACACTGTAAACTATTATTAGTTAGAAAATATTTTTCCCCTAGGATTCTGTGTTAGAAATGTAATCAGTTATAAACTAAAAATCCATGCGCGCATGACCCCCCTACTGCATGCCTCTGTGCATGCGCATGTAACCCCCTACGTGCCACATTGCATGCGTCTTCCACACGCATGTCTCCCCCGCGCATGCGTGGCAGATACCTGACAACCAGCTGGCTGGCAGGGGGGCACATGCACATGTGCAGTGGGGCTCTTCCAGGTGACCTCTCGCGTGCCGGCAGAAGTGGCTCTGTTTGCCACTTCCGGCATGCGTGCCATAGGTTCACCATCACAGTTATAGCAAATCTCAGTTTAGAAAGTTTTAGCCTTCCTGTGGCTTCTTGGTCTGATGGAGCTAATATATCCTTATCACTACCCCTAAATGATAGCACTTTTGGTATATATAGTATATATATATATATATATATATATATATATATATATATATATATATAACTATAATGATGCTGATCGACTGTTACTCTTTGGGAAAAAAATCTTCAACTTCTAAGTCAGAGTGTCAAACTCACGTCATTGTCACATGACGTATTGGGACTTTCCCCCCCATTTTCTAAACTGGGCGTAGTTGTGGCCAGCATGTGATGCATCCAGCCTTTGGGCCAGGAGTTTGACAGTTTAACCACAGGAAATCATCACTGCAAGGCTAAGATATATCTAACAAAAGCACCTGCAATTTGCTTCATTTATCAAGTCCAAGAGAATACTAGACTATGAAAAACCACCAGTTTTCATAAAAAACATATCTACATTGTTACACTTTTTTCCTTCCATTCAATAAAGTTCAATTCTTGGAGACTACCTGGACAAGTCCCAGCGGTTTTCTTGGCAAAGCTCTTCAGAAATGCCTTCTTTTTAGGTTTGAGAGAAAGTAACTAGTCCAAGAATACCTAGCTGGCTTTGTACCTAAGGCAGATTAAAACTCAGGGTCTCCACGTTTCTAGTATGTAACCACTTTAACCACTGCACTAAATTGTCTCTCATTACACTATTATAGACATATGAACACCTTGTGACATTCAGAGCCATATAAAATAAGCCATGTTCATTTTAAAGAATAAAATTGAAGTGTACTTTGTTTTCCATCCAGCATTTTCCACATATCATTAATTGTTGTCTAACTATTTAGTTGTTTCCAACTCTTGGTATTTTATAGGAAAGTGCTCTCCGTGCTATACTGTCAGACACAGCTTCTTTCAGTTGTTGGATGTTCATCTTTGTATCAGTTTTGATATTATCATGCCAACATGTTCTTTGCTTGCCCTTTCTTCTTGTTCCACTAACCATTTCTAGCATCACTGACTTCTCAAATGATGATTCATGTCATTAATACCAGAGGTATTAGCAGAGGGCAGTTAATCAAATGTATTAGCAGTCTGTAGACTTTCAGAAGCATGAAGTATTAAAAGAAGAAAGCTCCACTCTACATCCAAGCTAAAACAATCCCAAAATTTTTATGATTCTACATGAGCTTGATTTGGGGAGATAAGGAGAGACATAAAGAAAAATGAAAATAAATGTAAAATTAACATTGTTCCATATAAATTTGAGTTATGAGATATTCAATTCTGTATTATAGGTAAACATCAGATCCAATTTCCTGAGCAGTTCTGTAATGGATGTCATAGCCCCAGCTGAAACAAATTATTTAGAGAATCATGTGAAGAGGTATTACGAAATAAGAACTGTATTGAGCAATTCAAGTGTTTTAAATACACTCAGCTTTATCTATAGAACCAATCATAGTACAGCTACATGTCACACGACAGAAAGTAGTCAGCTGAAAAACCTGAAAAATGCTGAAAACAATAACATGATAAAAGGAGAGAAAGATGTACTTGCTGCAACCTGTATAATGATGAAGTTTCATGAACCTTTAAAAATGGTTGCTTAGGTTTTTTTTTTTAAAAAAAAAAGAATATTTGATTACTGATAGCTATACATTCAGAAAAAATTACAATGCGAAAATATTCAGATTAAATGAATACTGCATTTTTCAGATATATCTGATAACTGAACTATACTGATTTTCTACTATTTTATTTTACTTTAATTTTACATGTAATACATTACCAAAAAAGTTACTGAAAGGTCATAAAACAGGATGCCATTTGGGATAATCCTTTCCTTACTTCACAATTATCTCAATATTGCCAAATATACTACCAAGCAAAACTGAACCAATAAGCAAATATGGAACATTGTAAATAAGTAGATAAGAAGGGAATTTCATAGCCCTGCTCTGGAATAACAAGAATGTGGGAGCCTTTGGTGTTTACCAGATGTTTGGGTAATAAATAGCCATGGAGTTTATAGAAAATCAATGAAGGTTGTGTATATGTGTATGTGTCAAAAAAGACAAGGACATGCCCTTACAATCAAAACCGTGGCTCTTTGTACAACTGGTGGAATATACAAAGAGGTGAGGGATTCAACTGTGCAGTTATATCCACTATTTTTTTTTTACATCCTCACAACTACAGATCCTCCTGCAAAAAGGTAATGGCTGTCCCATTTTCTAGTTTTTATATTGGCCAATACTACTGGGCCCAACCCACAGTTACATTGCTTAAAAATGAGATAACACGAAAAAAATAAAAAAACCACACAGGCAAGTTATTACAGGCAATCTTCAATTTATGACAATTGGGACTGGAACTTGCTTTACTAAGCAATGCAACTGTTAAACTAGTTGCCCCCAATTTTATGACCTTTTTTGCCACGGTGAATCCTATTGATTTCAATTGTTGGAAGCCCACTGGGAAGGTTGCAAATGGTGATCACTTGATCATGGGACCTGTAACTGTTGTAAACACATGCCATTTGCCAAGTATCAAATTTTGATCATGTGACCATGGGGAAACTGACAGTTGCATGTGTGATAACTGATTATAAGTCACTTTTTTCAGAGCCATGTTTTGGAACAGACATTAAATGAGTACTAATAAGTCAAGGAATACCTGGAATAACTATTTTTTGTAGAAGCAGTTTCTGAAAATGCTTACCCCCTTGTTTAGCAAAACAACACAGAGCACTGGGTAAGCTATGGTTGCAAGAAATTGTTCCTTTTGCTTATCGTAGATATTGTTCCTTCTTTGGAGGATTAAAAAGTTTGGCATTCTGCCTCCTTCAAATATTAAGATAGCAATACTGAATACAAGTTAGTTATTGGAAATGGTGGTAACTGTACTTTCTAACCATGATAAGACCAAGGGCCATTTGAGTAGGACTCCTCAAATGTAGGACTACTGTAGGAGCAAGAAGAATTTAGGAAAAGATGCTGTTGCTATAATTGTCAAAGGAATAAAAAATGTATTTCCATCATCGTATCCATGCATTCATGTTAATAATGGAAGTAGCTCTAAACCAATAAGAACTGAAACATCGACTTCTGATGTCCCTTCTAAACTATCTACTATTTTCCTCCCAAAGAGACCCTTCAGGATATTATATACAGAGCACAGAACCTCAACTTTTGCACAACACAGCCAAAATGAAGCAGAAGTTTACTGCTGGTAGGGTGTTGTTCATGAACTGACACAAAGGATGAAAAAGGATTCCAAGCAGCCTTCAGAATCTAAATGGGGATCAAAAAGCACAGGACCCTTTTTCAGACATTATCAGCAAAGCTTTCCCACTCCTCTGTACTCACTCATGTTCTGCAATATCAGGTAAATAAGCTGCATCTTCTTGAGAAGGGTGAGCCATAAAAACAACGTCTAGATTATCAAAAGCCCCAGCTTTAATTAAATCCACTTTGCCTCCTCTATCTTCTTCAGCAGGGGTACCCAGCACTGTGACCTAAAACGAGAAGGTGACAAGGCATCAGGATCTGGAAAAACAACAACAGAACATCCCGCCAAAGGAACCCAAGCCTGGGAAAGCCTGTTTACTGGGGCGCGTGTGCGCGCCTCTCTTCAACATTGCGCTCAGACTGACAATATTTTGTAAATGCATAGATAAAGATAAGAGATTTACCAAAAACAACAACAAGAAGATATGCTCAAAATGTAAAGTTAGCACTTCACAATCCCGCGCGCTCCTTAGCATTGAAACCAAGGAGGGGGGCGAAGAGGACCAAGATGCCAACTCGCTTCTCACCTTAACAGCGGGCGCCTGACGAGGGAGGCCGGCAGGGTTCTGGCGAAGGCTTTCCAGAGCGCCCTTCAGGCCCAACGCGGCGGCGGCTCCCACTTCGGCGATGAGGTTGTGCCCGCAGGCGTGCCCGATGGCGGGCAGGGCGTCGTATTCGCACAGGAAGCCCAGGCGAAGCGGTGGGGGCGACGGCGGGGTAGCCTGGTTCGTTTCGGCGGGAGAGCAGGGCGCCCCGTCCCACTTCCAGTCCGCCCGGAAGGCCGTTTCTAACTTATAATTGCGCTGCACCGACCAGGCGGCCGAAGAGGAGGAGACGGGCAGGCCCGCGAAGAAGCTCGTCAGGGCGGCGTGAGCATGGTGCTCTTCGAAAGCCAGCTCCGGGTGGCTCCAGATCTCCCGGCTTAGCTCGCCCAGGCACTCCGAAGACTCGTCGATGCATTCAGCCGCCCACCGCTTCCATTCTTCCAAGCGCACCTCTGTGGCGGACGATGCTTCCCCTGCTTCGTTGGGTCTCATTGCAATTGTCGGACAAAAGGAAGGAAGGACCGGAGAAAATAAAAGGGAGCAGCAGAGGAACTGTTCTCAGCTTTCCGAGGAGAGGAAATATAATAATAATAATAATAATAATAATAATAATAATAATAATAATAATAATAATAATAATAATAATAATAATAATAATAATAATAATA